CGCAAGCTTGTTACCATCGCCGGCCGTCTGATCTCTTGGAGAACAGTTAGCTATGCCATGTCCTGAATTTGTTTTCCGTAATTTCCAAGGACGGAGATCAATTCCTTACGTTTCTATCGATGTTTCCTTGTTCATCTGTCCGGATCACTCATTTTTTGTTTCCCTGCGCCGTGCAAAGTCGTCCACAGTATATACACTAGTGTGGGGGTGGTGCCTGCACAAGGCTGCCGGGTGGGACGCCACGCATGGACACTTGACCCTGGTCGTCCATACGGATAGCCTGCGCTTTTGTGGATCTGCAAAGTCGGCCCGGAGGGTTGTTGTTTCCTGCGTGGCTTGCTGAAAAGGGTCTAACTAGCCCGATATGTAAGTACGGATTTAGTTTTAATTTTTAATTTTCCCGCTATTCGTTCGGGAGTAGGGGTGGAATGCACGCAGTTAGCCCCTAAATCCTAGCCGCAAAGCTCTGGAACAAACCTCCCTAGAGCCGTAATCGCGTCCGGGGCTAGCCAGTGAGGGCGTGTAGGGAGCGCAACGCGCTAGCACGAAACGGGCTGCTAAACGCTGCCTCCCACCCTGCAAACGGTTCGGTGCTGCAGGTCGACCCTCCCAGCCACCGCTGTGTTGCGGATTGACGGCCAGCCAACGATACGACCTGGTGGGCGCGCAGACGCGAGAGGCTTGGCGCGGCGCAACACTGCGTGATCCTTACAAAGGGGAAGAGAGTTCTTTCCGACACACCCTCCCTAAGGCTCACTTCTGGGACAGCCTTTTCAGGACCCAGGATGTTTGCCCGAGCCCGCCCTGATGCGTCATACACGTGTCCGAAAACACGCTGGCGATGATTTCTTGACATCACGGCTGCCCGAGCAGCGTGTGTCGCTGCTTCGTTTTCCGTTTGCAGCATGCGGGGAGGTAGATGCGTGATTGGATGCCAGGTTTTCGGCTGGAAACATGCCGGCTTCGCGAGGCAGGAGCTGCATAGATCGGCGGTACGGTGAGCGGCCAGCAAAGCAAGGCCATGAACGCGCCAGGGTGGGCCCTTCCTGGACGCATTGGCCGAACACTCGTCCACAATTCGTCCACAATATTGTCTCTGCATGGTCACATCGCTTCCAGGTGTAGATTTATAGGACCACCCCCATGAGGCTAGGCGGATTGAGTCTAACTAGACGCCGCAGCCAGCTGCGCGGTCCTCAGGTCGCGGTCCGCTGCTGGTCAACATACCACAACAGTCCCTACCACGCAGAAAGAGA